ATACGGGATTACGCGACGCTAGCTATGCTTGCCCTTTGGTCATTAAGAATTAATGACCCCAAAATAAAGGGTTTTAACTATTGGCTTCGTGATCTTACTTTCATTAGTACAGGTTTACATCTCATCAATTCAGCAGCTTTACTTACTAACTAACGCAATCTCGGTAATGCTTCTTCATCAAGCCTTGATGACCCGAAAGTGACGCTAGGGTTTTTCCTATTATTCTGAGTTGTGACCGGTTTTGCGCACAGATGTTAACAGACACATACACATTAGAGTATATGAGAAGTAGCCAAACCTCTGTACATACTTCTATATCTAAAATCGTTTCTCGTTATGAGTATATATATATATCGAATGGAAAAGAGCTTGTCACACTTCTTTACTTGGTGTTAGCGTGTAAGTTTTGCAAGAATGGAACCCAGCTCTGAGTATAAATGTCATATAATAAACGAAGGCTCAGCCCGTTTTCACCAGAAACGAGGAAGGATGCCTCATGGACTGCGCCAACAAGAACAGCGTATTTAGGGCAAACGGCTGCAGTACTACGTGAACAATCTGTTTCCTTCTGGTGAGATAGACCTACGAATCTCTTCATCATGCACTTCATACGAAATCAAAGTCTCCACAACAATTAGATAAATTCGTCATTGAAATATAAAAGGTATGTTTGTATATTAACAGATATTGCATCCCGTAAGCGATTCTGAATGCCAATACTTTTCTATTAGAATCAAGGCTAGGTTCTTTCGTAACATTTCTTTATTTTTTCAAGTTAGACCCATTCGAATATGCGCATTCTAGTTGAAATAAATCATCGATTTGAAAAATCATGATACTGGTAAAAGATGGAAAGTTAAGAAGTATAATAGCATCAAGAAAAAACGCAAAATAAATTGCTAAATGTCATAAGGCCAAGTGTGAATCCTCCCCTCTATCAACTCAAGAGTTTAGCCAATTTGAAGTTCTCTTGTGTTTATTGTTCAAATCTGACCTCTTTAATCATGGTACATCTTTTTTCGTTCCAAAGGCAAAACATCTTCCTGGAGTTTCATGTTTCGGAAAGCATGCTGCTTTACCCTATGCAAGCCAGCCTTAATGAAATTCCTAATGAAAGTTTATTGGCTGTCCACTGTTTAGTGTGGGTTATCATCTTGATGCTTTTTGCCTTCTCCGATTACTAAAGTGGGTATGCATAAACTCACATTTTATTGTTACTACAACTAAATAAAAGACGATGAAGAGATTTCTAACTTGCTTCTCTGTTTATGGTTAATCATTTTTTATTTTTTACTCCTATACTAATTCAGCTACACCTTGGGTTGGCCACCTCAATTTGTTGGTTAAACAGTCCTAAACCCAAGACAATTGCCTGTATTCTTTATCGATTTGTCTTTTCTCCCCCAAATTCTAATATTATTCAAGGTTTTTTTCAGAGCCCCACACTGGAAGCAAATTTGATATTTCAATTAACATAAAGCAAGTTCAGTTACACTTCCATGCATACGTACGCATTATTCGTTTTTATAGATGTTGAATAACAGCATACGGAGTCTATTATATATAATTAGATTTCATAAATTATAATTAGGTCCATTTCCCCTTCAATTTTATCAACACACTGTATCGCCTCCTTCGCACCTGGAACCGCTGATGTTTGCAGCACCGATTCCTTTATTCAGAAGACCTTGGCCACTTATTTGGCTGATTGCACTGTTCTGACCATTACGCACCGATTGCACACTGTGATCCAGTCTGACTTAATCATCGTGATGGCAGGTGGTCGAATCGTGGAGTCAGGTCCACCTTATGAGCTGCTTGGTTTGCACCAGGTTGTCGAGCGTCCTCTCATGCGGATGCGAAGCAGTAGGTTGGTCATGGAAAGGGACATCGATGGCCGCTTGCATGCCGAAGATGAGGGACATTTGTACCATGCAGGTTTTACTGGTCAGGGAAGTGTGTACGACAGCCAAAGAGGTAGCAACCGCTACTCACGAGTTGAGACGTTGGCAACACTAATGAGGCAGATGAGCTCCAGAGAGGCGCTTGGTCTTACAGAAATGGCCAAGAGGGCCTACCTCTCCGGAAGTAGACGCACCGAGGCAGATAAATAGTCTGCCGATATGAAGACTGATTGACAAAGCTCTATCGGAGTCATCTATTAATATTATCTAACTCATCCTCTTAAATTGTTATGCATTCGTTTCACCTTCATTTACTTCCGTAGAAGCAAGGGCTAAACATCGAGTGCATGTGACAATCATGAACAGTTTTCAGGCTATAATTTTCCTATCCTAACTTCTATCTGATCTCAAGGCATCAGTTTGCCCTATTTCACATTATAGAAATGGCCATGAGACCTTAAAATGGCCATATAATCCTTTTGTCTGATTGCCACCCCGTCATTCTTTGACTTTCATGTTATTTGACGCTTCCTCTATGATTGTTTCAGTATCATTTGTCCATTGCCTCTTCCAGCTTATTCTACTCCTGACGCCAAGCCAAATTACTTCACCCCTTCACGCAATACCACTATATCAACTAAAGCCTGATATCAGTGTAATAATTACTTTGTTAAGTCTTAATATACCTCTTAATAACTAATAGCCCAACTGTCCCGAAGCCCTTTTGAAAAGATTTTTAAAAAGCACGTGAATCGCGTAGCTAAATTATATTAATTGATTAAAAAGGAATCTTCTTGCTGAAAGTACCAATTTTATATCTATGCAGAAGACCTGAAGAGAGCTTAAGGGTAATATAATATAAGGGAAG